GCCATCCACTTCCATGGACCGTGTAGGCCTCGGCGGGGTCGTCGGTGCAGGCCTTCGGGTCCTCCGGGCCGGGGCGGTCGGGTTTGCACCATACTGGTGCCTTGCGATCAGCTGCACAAGCTCTCTCCTGACCTCCCTTCCAAGAGTGCGACCTCCAGCCATCGCACCAGTGAGCACGTCGGACAAGTCGCCATCCTCGCCACCATTGGTCCCGAGGAGCTTGTCCCATTCGTCCTCCGCCGCTTTGTCGCTGGCTGACGCTGTTGGCTCTGGGCGCTGGAAGGTACCGCTCGCCAGGGCCTCCTTGATCTCCTCGAGGGCGTCCTCGCGGGCCTGCTCCTGCTCCTCGAGCTCGTCCTTGTTCGCCTGCAGCTTCTCGAGGTAGCGGGCCCGTTCCTTCACATAGTTCTGCTTCATCTCCCGCTGGAAGTTGGACCACTGGACCTCGAGGGAGTCCTTTTCCTCCTGCCCTTTCCTGATCCGTACTTCTGCCCTGCGGAGCCCATTGACCAGTTTCTGCATCGGCTTGGCAACCTCCGCCTTGTCGGGAACCAGGTCCGCATTGCCGAAGGAGGGCGCTGCACGTGCTCCGCTGCTCCTTGGCTGGGTGGTGGTAGACATCGCATCGAAAGCAGGGAAGGAGGCACCCTCTCCACGCCGGTCCGGCCTGGGTGGCTTGCCCTTGCTCTTGTCCTTGCCAGCACCCTTGGAGCGCCAAGCTTCCCAAGACTCCGAAGACCATCCACCGTAGTCCTCGTCTGGTGCCTGCTGCCATTTGGACCGAGCCTGGGCCCTTCCCATGAACTCCCTGTAACGCGGGCAGCTGTGGTGAGCTACCAGCAGGGCGACCGCCCTCCGCGGTCCTGGGCGGCCAGAGAGTCTGGCCTTCCAAATGGTCCGGCGAGCTCTCGCTCGGTTCAACCGCAATCTGCGGTGCCACGGGGGCGAGCACGGCCCCGAAATGGCTCGAAATCGTGCCTAACTCCTGGCACTGGGGTGCGCCGGCTATAGACTCGGTCTGTGCCGAGTCTTCGATCCGAGACCCTGTCTATCTATCTGTGTATATATATATACATATAGAATTTAAGTATTGTATAGGTGTGTAACGTGATTCTTTCTCAGGGTTCATGACTATGAAGGCTCTGCAACAGCCCCTGACCTATTTCTCAGGAAGGAGCTTTGCAACGAAGCCACCGGGGCGCCACTAACCTTTGTGCTGAGAATCTTGGATTCAAAGTGCGCTTAGGGTTTAGGTAAGGCTGTGTTAGGCTTTGTTGTGTGGGACCTTGGGTTTGTGATTTACCCTGAGGGTCCCAATATCTCCTTGGGAGGGAACCTCTCAGGGAGAGCCCTTGGGTACCTGTGGGGCTCAGAAGTCTCATTTAGTTTTAACAGTCCCAAAAGTATCAGGACCTTTTGGGGAAGGCTGGTGTGCGGGTTTAATACTCCGACGGAGGGTGTTCTTGATAGGTCGTGGCTGCGACCGAGACCTGAAACCCTAAACCCTTAGCCCTAAACTCTTAGGCCCTTAATCCCAAACTCCAAGGTCTTAGCCCTAAACTCTTAGGCCCTCAATCCCAAACTCCCAGGCCTACACCCTATACTCTTTGGCCCTCAATCCCAAACTCTGGACCTGAACCCTGAAACCCTCAGCCAGGCAGGTTTGCTCGGTCTTGTACTTTATAAAGCCACAAACCCGGAAACCTGTCTAGAACCCTTTCAGATTCGCCATAGCACCCACCTCTATATTCCACGTGTTCCAAGAGTCACAGCAGATTCGCACAACATGCCGGTTCAGAAAATCGCCAAACGGTCCGTGACCTTCTTGGCCGGAATCTCCGTCTAAGAAAGTGTAATACAGGGCCTAAATATATAATTACCAATACTGTTGGGGGCTCCATATTATTTTTGTTGATATGATATGCCCCGAAACCCTATTCTAATTATGAAGGCGCCTAAATCATTCCCTAAACGGGCGCCCGCACGAGTCCTCTGAGAGCCTTCGGCGTCGCTCCCAGGTAATGGCCAGAAGCTGACCTTGGATGCCAAGGACATTGCATCATTGAGTAGGGTTTAGGGGTTTCGGGCTTAAGGTTTAGGATTAAGTAGGGTTCTGGGCTGCATAGTATAGGAGGACAGTAGGTTAGCATTTTGGAGACTTCGGGGCTGTTGGGTGCCCGGACAATCACGGCAAGCTCAAGGCCTCAAAAATTTTCATCATCACACGAACCCTGAAACCCAAGCCACGAATCCCCAAATTCCGAAACTTTGCATCAGGCTGTAGGATCCTACAGTCCTGAACTCACAGCTATCAAATCCAGAGCCGCAAACCCCGCCACGAAAGCCTTCATACTCTAGCTAGGTAAGTCCACTTACACGGTTCAGCCTGCCGTTTAGGGTTTAAGGTTGAGGGTTTAGGGCTATAAAACATCGAGAACCGGTCTGCCAACCTGGTGGAACAGAAATAAGTCTTGAGCAGGACTACGCTGGTCCTGAGGGGAAGGATTGCGTTGCTCAACTCCACCCGTGGGACGTGGAGGAGATATGTTTGCGACCTTTTGGGGGCCTGGGTTCGGGGCTGTTAGGTGAGGAGCTTGGCTTCGGCGTACTTTAGGGGCCTTAATAACTACCTATACTTTTGGGGGCGTTCCTTCATATAATTAGAGTATACTGGACCCCAAAACCGTATTCTAATTATTGAGGCCCCTGTATTCAGGCTTAGTTTGCTGAGTTCGCAGCTGAGGTTTGCGTCAATTAAACCAACCCTCAATTATTGTTCCTTTTTGCTGGTTGCCTTCTAGAAAAAGCATATTCTCATTCCCAACGGATCAAGAGTACCTATATGGGGGGGGGGGCGGATACTTACCCAAACCTTGACAGTAATTCCTACTATAGAAACCCTACCCTAAACCCTACACATATTTGGGAGGTGCTTGGTACCCTCTGGTATTGGACTCGGCAGACTGACCTGCGCAGGCTGACCAGACCAAACACCACGCCTTCAGAGTTCTCTGGTTTACATTCTTAACCCAGACAGACAGACGGTCCCCACATATATATATATATATATATATATATATATATATATCTTTATTTGTGTATTTATTTGTACATATTCATATGTATATACTGCCATTTTGGAATCAGGCCCCCCCCCCCCCCCCAACCCATCCTTAGGATGGTCTTTTGGGGCCTAATACCATGCTGGCGGTATATATGGACCCAAAGGATTGTTAAGGATCTCATTTGTATTGTGGTTCTCAGTGTACTTACGATGCTATCGTCAGGCTCTGGATTTGCATACAGGGTCCAAGCCAAAGGCTAAACCGAATTCAGGTCCCACGTATTAGGATTTCTTCGTTTCGGTTTTATCAGGGTTCTATGCGAGCCCAACTAATGTACCCAACCATAGAGCTTCATGTTCAGTATCATATACTACACGCTGAAAAGGTTTAGGACCTAGGGCTTCAAATACTACGCATTGAATTGCTCTGAACCGTTCTTGGTACTCCATGCCCGACGATTTGGTACTTGGACACCCAAGGCCAGCTAAGCGAGTCTGCAAGCCTATCTAGACCTTGGAATATCATGCACATGTTTGAGAACTTATCTATGGTTCGGGGTTGGGATCCTAAAATGGGAAGTCAAAGTTTACAAAGAAAGCTATTACATTTAGGGTCCAGGCAGTAGCCTGCAGGGTAATTGAGCGAATTCGTAAGAGCGCTGAGACCTCCCACTGAATGTCCAGGAGCGCAAGAGCACCGGTACCCGCCGCCCAGCATCTCTTGTTGGACCTTTTTCCCCTGGTTTTAGGGCCTTACGGAGTTTGAATCATAGGAGGCCAAATGGGGTTTTAGCCTATGGGGGTTTAGTAGGGATTAGGGTTCCCATAATAGGGTTCAAATTAAGGAATCCCTACCCCAAGAATCTTAAACCCCCTTTTGGCCTCCCATCATTGAACACCAGCAATCCTGTCCTCGTAATTTGCCACTTGCACAAGGGATCACGCTGGAACTCAAGTGAGACTGTTTGTCACAGCCACGTCGCGCCATGGTCCTGGGGAAAGGGTTCAGGGTTCAGGGTTTGGGAGACCAGGATTTAGGGCTCAGGGTTTATAGGTTGTGAAGTTTGGGATTTTGGGTTTAGGGTTTAGGGATTCCAGGCGACGAGTTCAGATTGTTTCTTCCAGAAAGCGGGGGGTGAGGCGCCGGATTGTAGCATAATATATGTAGGGGCCTTAACAATTATCTAAACTCTAAACTGTTTTGGGAGGGGGCTCCTTGGGCCCCCAAACCCTATGCTAATGATTGAGGCCCCTATATTATAGCACCCTTAACTGCCCTGAATCTGAAAGGAACCCCGAAAGGAACCATTTGGGAAGCCTGCAAGGAATCCCTTACAGATTCCCGTGGAGGACCCATTAATAGGAACCGTTGAAGTGCGAACTCTAAAGCGGTGGAACAAGGAGCCTAGTTGCTGAATATCTTTCCTGCCGAAAAAGCAATCCCTCATCCCCGAAAATTCAGGGCTTAGGGTTCATCCTGGACTTGTTTGAAGGTTCGTGAGACGCTGCACACCGTACGTGTTGTCAAAGCCAAGTTTTAGAAGGCCCGGATTAACACGGCAAAACCTTATAATAGTACTCTGTAGACAGTCCTTCAGCCTTCTATGAATCCGTAAAGAAACCCTTGAAAATTCCCTTATAGAATTCTGATCATTAGCCATACTAACAAAACCCGACATAAACCTATGTCAGTCACCTGACCCGGCGCGCCTGCAGCACCAATGTTCTCAAGGTAGACGAATGCCGGGAGTGCCAACGACTAACTCAATCGATAATGGGAGGGCTTAGCGCTCCGAACAAAGAGTAATCGAGGGCGGTCCTTCTTTTCCCTTCGAGCATCCGAGACTGCGGTGATGAAACCATGGATGCGTGCAATCACACAAGCTTGTTGCTTGCATGCCCCGGTATCCCCTTTTCAAAGATAAAACACATTCCCTCAGGAATTCTTCTCTTCGTTACACCCAGCAAGTGGAGCTATGCCCTCTTGCTTCCTGCGTCGAGCGGATCTCATCTGTTCGTCTTCTACGATACGCCATTGATGTTGCATCTGGTAGTACAGCTCGATCTCGGGGCAGTTGCCATGCTTCGTTAAGCTATTAGCCAACTGAGCCTCTGAATGGACCCATCTAATGACTAAACTTGTAGCAGCTTGCGCCTCTTTGAGCCCGAGCAATTCCAGATCTGTTCGCTTCTCCGCGCCCTTCACTACAAGAACCTCCTGATTCACCTTGTCATAAACATTCCTAGAATCAGTAACCAAACACCCCGGAACCTTTCTCACAGCAGCTTGAGCATCCCGAACATTCTCAATCCCAAACTCCATTTCTGACCACTGAAATCTGGCGTAGTAAAGTGCGTCCTCGCCATTGACTGCTGCCAAAGCCTCTGCCGCACCGGGTGATCTGCACACTCGGTCCACTCGGGACGAGTGCCAAGCCACCGGGGTTACTTTCCCGACAGCTCCTGATAGCATAGCCTGAGGACCCAAACCTATGAAAATCCCCTGAGTACTTCCACCATCAGTCCTGTTGCCTGAAGCCGCGTCAACCCAAGCATACATCATCACAGGTTCATCCATGGGAATGGCATGTATCAGCATGTGGTGTTGCTTCCTTTGTTTCACTTGTCTCAGCAGAAGGTTACAACGTATCACCGTGTCCACTGTGCTTCGCGCAATCTCAGACAACAGCAATCCCACTGAGGCTGACAGGTGTGGCGCGGTTTGTTGCGCCAACCAACTCAGACTACCTAACAGTGCTCTCATCTGTCCCTTTTCTTTGTCGCTCGTCGGTTGATCCCGCTCCTTCCGACGTGTGGCATTCAGGTTAATCTCTTGAAGACCCTCCACAAACTGCGGCTGACTCAACCTGAACCCTTCCTCAACCCTCTCAACCTTGACCCCGCATTGGACAAAGTTGTCCTTTTCCCAATCACCCCATTTGAAACGCTCTTGGATCTTCTTAAGGATGGCCTGCCACTTGGGGTCCGAGGTACTTCCTGCAAATAAGAAGTCATCTACGTGACCCGAAATAATGCCTCGGAGTTCTCCTTGATCTCTCCATATCCAAGTACAAGCGTCACTCCAGGATCGTTCCAATCCCAGGCTTTCCAAGAACTGAGATACTGATCGATACCACTCCAGAGGCGCGTCCACCAAGCCGTAACAGGCTCGCTTGAGCCTCGTAATACTGCCGCGTGGAACTTTCATCTGGTCACAGATTTCATCGCATGGTACACAGTGTAGAACATCTGGGTACTCTCTCCCTTGCAGGAAAGCTCCCGAAACGTCGCCCTTATAGACAGTCCATTGTCGTCGCGCAGCCTGTTGCAAGAGAAGTTGTCGTGACTGTTTGGTCATAACAGGAGCCGTGGTAGCACGATGTTCATATGACGGGTCTTGATAGCCAAGCAATACGGCTCTAGCCTTTGCCTTCCGTGAGCCGTCTTCCTTCTGCTTCCACGTCAATATCCATCGCATGCCTATCGCCTGCTGATAGCTGGGTTTCAAATGTTCCGGCAATACCTCGAATGCCTGAGCAGCAATAAAGTTGCGAACCTCCACTGCTTTTGCTTCTCTGAACATGGCTTTCTCTTCTTCGTTCAGATGTTTCTCTCGCACTTCAACCGCTCTACGTTTGAAAGCCCCAACCATGTAGCACTGCAAATTGTTTGTAGCTTGCTTCCACGCTCTATCGGTACTAGGCATCTCAACTTCAACTTCAACACACGCACTCTGATCACACCAGTAGGCCGGTTCTGTGCTGAACCATGCGTCCTCTCGTACTTCTTCCCACCATCGCGTTCCTGTCAGGGTCTCCTGAAAGGATGCTTGTCCTGGCGGATGGGTTCTCGGCCGACTTCGGGAGCTACTCGCGGGTTCCCTACCGGCATCAGGAATCAACTCCTCATCTGAATCCTGAACTGGGCTGGTCACGGCAGCCCTCTTACCTCGAAACCTAGTCCGAACCGGCTGGGTCTCCTCAGCAGGGTCCTGGGCACGCCACCACTCCGGAACTGACGGCTGGTGTCGCGTGAGGTCCTCGTATTGGTTACCGCCGATTTGTTCAGCAACCTTGGAGTAGGTCCAAGGCGTGCGGTCCTGTTCCGCAAGGCTCTCCACGAGTTCCTCACGTTGTGAGGCTCTACGCAGTTGTTCCACGCAACACTTAATCAGTTGCCTACCACGAACGCACCACACCGACGATCCTGGCTTCAACGTCCCATCAGGTTCTCGCTTGGTTTCCATAGCCAATATCCTAGCCGGTCCCATGAATTGCCCCTTTTTGGAATTGGGGCCCTCCCTGTGCCTAGAGGCATCTTGTTGACGCCAGTAGTAAACAAGTTCTCCTGGTTGATAATCAAACACGGGCCGAGTTCGGGAGTTCTGTGCTCGGTTCAACCTCTGTTGGGCGTTCCATTCGGCATGGGCCTTTTCGGCTTGTGCACGTCGTTCAACGGATTGCCTGAACTCAGTGTTGGGGTTCTCAATCAGAAGTTCCGGAGGGAGGGCAGGAGTCGCCACTTCTATCCTACCGGTTTCATCGGGGGTTTGTCCTAACACGTGTTGCGCCGGCGCAAAACCCCGAACCAAATCCCTCTGATTGAACACACGCACTGCCGTCGCCAGAGCTTCCTCAGCACTAATGTCCTCGTCTGACATGTACAACTTGTCCATAACCATCTTCAATCCCTGAACGGCCTGTTCCACAACCCCCACTTTCCAATGAGCCTCCCCTGGAACCAAATCCAAAAACACGTCATGTCTGTTACAGTAGTCACTGACCGCTTGACTCCTGAAGTTGCCTGCGGGGTCCAACCTAAGGGTCCTAGGATTTCCGAATATCTGGGCCCATCCTTCACGGAGAAACTGAACGCACGTTGCACCTGACGGTTGCTGTTTGGGTCCTTTCGAGAGTATCTTCGCTACCCGGAATCTGGAGCCCTCATCGATGATCACCATAAACTGACAGTGTTCCTTACCTTTGGGGTGGTACCAGTGTCCTACATCCGCAACGATAGTGTGGTACTTTGGGGGAAGAGGCTCCAACGATGCCACATGGCGAGGCATCACCTTCTTTCGTTCCTCGCAGATGGAACACTTGAACTCCTCAGCAAGTTTTATCACTTCTGGGCTGGCGTTCCGACGTTTGAGTGCCGACACCAAATGTTGGGTTGAGCAATGTCCAGTGGCGGCATGGAGGAGGTAAAGTTGTCGCTTCAATCGTTCGGTTTCCTGTTTGGGATTGCTACTTCTCCCTCTGTCACCTACCGCATAGACCTCTCCTACACTACCTTGGGGTCGGGGAGGAAGAGGAAAACCACTTCGTCGCAACACCTGGAGTTCATCTTGGTCCAAATGTGACAAACTTCTACTGGAGTACGCCGACAACACGATTCTCTCTCCACTCCACTCTTCTGTCTCATGCCACGCTTTCGGAGGAAACTCTACGACATGATCCCTGGTCTCGTAGCTGCGACCCCAAATGGTCTCTCCATGCGGCGTGACCTTAGAGGTGAGTGGCCCTGAGCTGTCTGGGACAAGTCCCATTTCCTTCGCCTGGACGGTCTCTTGTACCCACAGCCCTCCTCGGCTGTAAGTACCCAGTCCCAGCACCAGGTTTGGTTGTGTAGCTTGATTGTTCACGTCTCTATGCAAAGGCATCCTGTTATCGAAACTGACAACCAACGAAGTCCACTTCCTAGGTTTGCTCACTCGCGTACCTATGTAGTGGTTCAGGTACTGAAGGAGTTTGGGGAACTGCTCAGTATTTCGACTTACCCCATAGCTCGCACCTCTTGCATAGGCCCCGAAAACATGATACTGAACCTTCTCGCCTCCAAACTTCCCAGCCCGGCTGACCCGAGCCTTCCACTCAAGCTGCTTCAACAACTCTTCGCAAGCCCCTTTGCTGAAATCTTTGTCCTTAAGAAGCCTGGTGGCCCGGTCCTCCACGTTGCGGATCGCTTCGGTTGCGTACCATGTTTCTAGGGTTTCGGGTTCAAAGACCTGGGGGTCTTCCTGGGGTGCCTCCGGTTTAGGGTTGCCCTGAAACCCTGAAGCCTGCCTATCCGAAGGAGAACCCTGAAGACACCACCCACAAGGAACCCTTTCATCCCCCGTCATCCCTTCGCACTGGCACGTGAGCCCTTCTCCAAAGGAGTCGGGCAGTTGACTTTGGCCCTGACATTCTTGATGAACTGTCACATGGTTAAGTTCCAACACCAAACTCTGCGCAGCCAATTGTGCATACTGTTTCGTGTACCTCGCACTCCCACTGGTATCCTCACCTTCGCATTTCGCATGTTGGTAGGCCTTTACACACTTGCAGGTTCTTTGCATACGCTCGGCAAGCCTAGCATGAGAGGTCACAATGCGCCAACCCTTCTTACTAAGCCGACCATCCTTCCTACCACGTAAGTCAACTTGACAACCATGGGTCACGGCGACATGTGGCTGAAACTTCCGTTGCAGTCTTTGAAGGATGGGCAATCTCCAAGCGTCGGATTTCTCAGACATCTCCCACACACAATGTATGCCTAACTGCATGCAGTACGAGTACACTACACTGGCACCAACGTACACCTTCTGAACTTGCTTGCGCTTCTGCTGTAGCTCCTCTCTTTGCTCGGTCGTGCGACAGTTCGCATGTTGCCATGGAGAAAAGGGTCCACAAGGTGTGGCCATCCAGACCACGCTCGGGCGCTCCGTCCCGATGAGTCCTAAAATGTACTTGATCCCCTCAGAGGAACCAAGGTCAGCCCCGTTCCATGTGGAGAAACGTCGGGCGGCCTCTGAACAACCAGTCTGATCCTGTACAGCCGTGGTAAGTAGGCTATCCGAATCACAACCCAACTCAAACAACAACGGCCTATCATAGCTCACCAAAGCCTGAAACAAACTCGGAACTATATCCCACGACGCATTCTCTAACTGACTGGCCCTCCCAGAGCTCAATTGAACTCCTTGGGCCTCATAGATCTCAGGGGCCGCCTTTGAGGTAGTTCCGCTCATGGCTTTTCCACCTTCTGGTAGCCATCGGACGTTGCCTCGGACCCCGGTTTGCGGCTCTCCTTGCGACGGGGGCGATCCTCCTTCATCTCGGTCATCTCCTCTTGAAGGTGTTGCACTGCCCCGGCCAACTGCTGGAGCACCTGCATGATCTGGCCCTTCTCGGTCGAAGTCGTTGAGCTCACCGAAGACGCCGAGGACATCATTGAACTCGGCATGGCGCGAGCTCTGTTCGGCTCGCCCTCCACAAAGAGCTCCTCCACACTCTTGTCCTTCGGCAGTGGGGGATTCGCCTCCAACCACGTGGCCAGTCGCCTCAGCCTGAAATCGCACTCGTGGCTTTCCTTTGCCGTCTTGAGGATCCACTCGCGGTACCCCGGCTGGTGATTGTTGATGTCGCGGTACTCCAGGGCGGCAAACTTCCCGAACCCGACAACATCCGCACCGGCTGGTGTGGAGAGGCGATATGCCTGCTTCATTGCCAGCGTCTCCAGTTGCGCCACGGTCTCGGTTCCCTTGACCGGAATCTCCATCTCGGTCTCGCACAGGCTCACCAGGTTGCTCTTCCTGGCGCTGGCTTTGTTGATCTTGTGTACCCACTGCTGCAGTTCGGTTTCCTGCTTCTTGTTGGCCGCCTCGGCCAGCTTGGGGTCCATCTCGATCAAGCGCTGGCGTAGCTCTAGCTTGGTCCACCGCTGTGGTGGCTCCTCGCCCTTCTCCCGAAGAAGAGCCTGCAAGGCGGGTTTCTTCATGCCGTTGAGGGTCATGGTGTCCGGAAGGATTGTTCTTGCTGCTGGAACTTGGGCCGGAAGTGCTGCTGTAGATCGCGTTCTCGGACTGTGTCATGTTGGCTTCCGGTCTGCTCGACTGCTGGGATGTTGTAGAAGAGAAGAATTTCTTATCAATCACATCGCTACTATTCACAGAAACATCTTTGAAAAGGTTCTTACCCCTCTCTGACTGTTCAACAGTCCTACTCTCGCCTGACTCTACACACTGGTCCTTCCACGGTCTTTCAGGCTCAGACAGCGGAAGGAGTTGTCCCTAGGATAAAAACTCAGTCAGTGCCGGAATGGCGCACTTGGCCACCTCCGACTGCTCGTACATGTCTCCGCTCAGAGGGAGCAACTGATGACCGCTCTGGGAGCGATGAGCCTTGATCACACGACAAGGGTCTATGGCACGAAAGACAATCAAATCGTTTGAAAAATCTATGATGGCTCCTAGAGCCCTCAGCGATGCCACACTCAGAAGAATTGGCCCCGATCCTTGGTCCAGCGCGTGGACCGTCAACTTCCCATCCTTGTCCCCGGCCTTCACGCCGATCTCCACCGTGGAGACGCATCTGTTCTCCGAGGAATTCCCGAATGAGAAGACGGGCTGCCGACTGGTGTCGACGCCCAACAACCGGGTTGGGCCTCCACCTGCGCGATTGCAATCCAAGACACTTTGTACTGCCTGCACACTTCCTAGTGTTTTGGTTGCTCCGCCATCTACGACGCACCAACCACGCCGCATGGCCTCATAGGTGGTGGGCGGGTCCTCGGCAGTCACATTCTGGGCCGAGAGGGCGAACTCCACCGGCTCCTCGCGATCCTCGGTGTAGCAGATGAAGGGGGCGGCTTCCACCTGGTCTTCGGCATGTTGTGCTTGATTGGTGGGCTGTGGGCAGTTCGCTGCCCTGTGTCCAATCTTCCCGCACTTCAAGCACTGCATGTTGGCATCATTGGGGGTCCAAGTTCGGGCTCCTGGTGTAGACGATGTCGAGGACCGGGCTCCACCGGGACGAAAGTTGCCACTGGACGGCTTGAAGTATTGCCTGGACAGCTTGATCTGATGCTGTTTGGCACGCGCTTCCTTCAATGTCCTCTTCGCATGCTGCATGGTGGCCAGAGCCTCTTGGGCTGAGGCCTCTGCCTCAGCCACCAACGCCTGCCCCTCCTCGGTCAAGTCCTCCACTTGGTAGCCCGCCTGGAAGTCCACTTCCGTTTCGTCCTCATCGTCGTAGTCAATCTCCCCGAGGTAGCCCGCCTGAACTCGGTGTCCATCTCGTTGGCGTAGATTGTGTTCATCCCACTGTGCCCGCAACTCTCGGGCAATGTTCTGAAGTGCGTAGTTGCCGTGCACCGCGGTGTGAATCATGTTCCTTTCTGTCGAGCTGAGCCCACTGTCAAACAGAAGAAACCATCCTTGGATGAAGTCCGGGAGGATCTCGGCAACGGTGGTCGTGGTGGCCTCTCGTCCACTTCCGGTGGTGGAACTGGCACCCCATTGGTGGCTGGGCTGCCAGGAGCGCTCGGAGCCCCAGCCATAGCCTGACCATGACCATCCGCCACCCCAGCCGTGCCAGCTCCATGATGACCACTCATCTCTGGCTTCCGACTGTTCGTCTTCATTTGCTCTCGGTTCGTCCTCCTCGTCATTCTCCGCCACGGGTGCCGCCGATCTGCTCGCAGATTGGCTGGTGCCTGAGTCCACACTGACCCGTCGGCTCCATGTGTCGCCTGGGGCTCCCCAGGCGGCGCCACCAGACTGGCTCACCTTGACATGCTGGGGCATCACTCGTCGGAGGGCTTGTTGAGCCCTCAGGTACACCTCGCACTTCCTGGTGATGTAGTCTGACATAGTCTCATGTGCCTTCCTCCTTGTCTGTCTGAAGTACTTCGTCAAGTAGTCGGCCAACTCCGAAACCTGTGGCGGTCCCAGGCTCGCACGCAGAGTGTTCAGCAGCTCGGTCACCCCCCCGGCATAGCTGACCCAATCTGGGCGTTTTCCCAGAACCAACCTCTTTGCTGGCCCCTGGAGCTCCCCGATAAGTCGGGGACCAACCATGTACCGTTTATGGTACGGTACACTCTGCTCGTACAACAGACACTGCTCCTCATACTCGGTGAACGAAGATGCTTCGCCCGACCATTGAGGCACTCCATCCTTGCTCCTTGTCACTGCTGCTCCGGTCGATGACATGACGGCCTAACCACGGCGCTGGCGGTGGTAGTCGAATCTAAGGTCCCTGGATCTCCAGACTCTGTCTGGGCGTCGCCTTCTTCTGAAGAAGGCTCCGCTACCGTGTCAGTCACCTGACCCGGCGCGCCTGCAGCACCAATGTTCTCAAGGTAGACGAATGCCGGGAGTGCCAACGACTAACTCAATCGATAATGGGAGGGCTTAGCGCTCCGAACAAAGAGTAATCGAGGGCGGTCCTTCTTTTCCCTTCGAGCATCCGAGACTGCGGTGATGAAACCATGGATGCGTGCAATCACACAAGCTTGTTGCTTGCAACCTATAGAACGTCTGCAAGTGTTCCTGCTAAGAACCCCACCGAAACCTTGAAACTACAGTCATCGAGCTCTCAGTAAGACTAGAGCCAAACCCTAAACCCAGGCCGAGAGGGCGACCGTGTGGTGGCCGCCGGCGTTTCCTTGGAAAGCCTCGTGCTTGGAGAGCCTCTGCTCCGTCTGTGCCTCAGTTTTCAGGGTCCAAGGTTCTGCAGGGGTTTAGGGTTCGGGCTTAGAAGGGTTTGGTAAGGGGCTTGTAGAAATTCTACAAGTCAAAAGGGCTGCATAGGGTACCCAGAACCGTTTAGAAAGCCATAAAACAGTAAATGTTCGGGTTCTCGCCCCGAGGCTTTTTGTTGGAGTCATTTCAGAATTATAAACCCTAAACCTACCACCTCAAGCCCTACAACCCTAAAGCCCTAAAGCCCTAAAGCCTAAAGCCCCAAACCCTAAAGCCCTAAACTCGGCTGGGGCTCTTTTGGGGGAACTTGGAGTTGAGGGTCCGTAGGACTTTTGTGTCTAGGGGTTGAAGGCATTGGGTTTTGAGGTATAGAGTTTAAGCATTAGGTTTCGGGCTTACAGGGTTGAAGGTTTAGGGGTTCAGGATATTTGGGTTTAGGGTTGAAGGCATTGGATTTAGGGTTTAGGGTTTAAGCATAGCTTTTCGGGCCGTAGGCGTGGAGTTATGATTGTCACGGTTTGTTTGAGAGGCACTTGGGCGAGGATTCGGGACGGCAGGCCTTTCGGGCTGTTACGGTACAGGCTTCAAGTATCACAATTAATTCAGGGTTGAGAGTGTCAGCCAGCGCAAAAAAAGGGCACCACGAAAATGCGCGAACAAGGTTTCCCAGAACCTGGATCTCGACAGACCACCCGGGCAGACGTCATCAAGAGGGACCCCCTAAACCCTCATTCCTGAACCTAGGCTCCGAAGTCTAAGAAAGGGTTCTACTGTTCATGTTATAAATCCTGGGGTTCCTTTAAAGGGCGGGAGCTATAAGGGTACCTTTAAGGGGCTCCTTTAAGGGCTCTATTATGGTTTTAGGGTTTGGGGATATGAAAATCCTGCATTACCTTAAGGTCCCTAAACTATGGGAAGTATGGTATATTCCTTGTTAAGGGGTAATGCAGGATTTATATCATCAACCGTAGTTACCTTGTTAATCAATCCCGCAAGCCTACATCCCAGCCACCACCCAAGCTCAAAGCCCCAAACTCCAAGCCCGAAACCGCGGCTTGACAAGCCACCAAAAACATGAACACAAGGACCTTACACTACATACTGCTGATGATACGAATCCTGCATTACCTCAAGGACCCTTAACTATGAGAACTATGGTATATTGCTAATAATGGGTAATGCAAGATTTATATCATCAACCGTCGAACGAGAGCCTTGTAAGGGGAGGCAGTTGCCAAATGCCCTGAATGTGATGCAGGTTTATCTGTTTATTGAGGGCCTGAAATTCTGAACGCTTAAATCCTGAACCCGGAAGTTGAAAGGCTTCAGAATAGAGGAAACCCTTACGACAATGCGAAGTAGCAGGAATGTTAACAACCGGACGCACCAAACAACATCGTAAAGGCCCTAAACTTGTGTGGTGGACGTTGGCCTCTGTCTGGGGATGTTGAAATCATTAAATAATGCAACATAAATGCATTTGGAGATATGGACCTGTTTACCCAAATGCAACTTGAAAATGCAGCTGCTTTCCAAATGCGAATAATGAAATGCAAACAAAATGGAATGGTCCTTGAAAAAATGCAAATGCTTTGCAAGCTGTTCTCAAAGATGAATATCATATCGTTGAAATTGTAATAAACTTTGGAAATGCTTCTTCAACCATACAAATGATTTGGAGTTTAGTGTTTTTTCAATCGCCCAAGGCATACAGCTTTTCCCTTCGCTTTAAATTTTAAATGTATGTATTTTTCTCAGCAGCAGCCTGCCGTCTATGGTGGTCTACAGTCATATATGCGCACACTGCACAGTGGATGGACAGGGTGGGGCGACCAGGAATCCGGTTTGGGATGAGATTTGTTTGAGTTGGGCAGGCGCAAGCAGGCAAAATCAACACGGTGCTCTACATTCCCGACTTGACTGTGACTATGTCACTATGTCATTATGTCATTCATTATGTCCTGTCCTATACTATACTATTTACTATTTTTTATAGTAATAGTATCCGTATCCTAGAGTCCTATAGGTCCTATAGGTCCTATCCCTATAGTCACTATAGTCCTATAAGTATGCTGCGCAGCCTCATTGACATCGCAAGTTTCACACAGACTCAAGACAACTCAGGGCCTGCGGGCTTTGGAGTTTTAGGACCAGGCTGCCCACACGCACTTTCCAGATCGCAGAATCAGTCAGGGATGAATTGAATGCAGCTCCTCCTGGCCGCTCAGCATTGGCATTGGCTTCGAGCGTCGGCATGCTGCTAGGGCCAGTTTTTTTTGCAAGCATGAACCATTTGAACAGCAAAAACCGTCAGACATCAGAATTGTCCAAGCTTGAAACAAATGTCACGCTGGCACTTGATTGGACAGTGTGCACCCGGACATATTTTGGCTGCAGTGCCAACTGCTAGCCAGCTAGCTGCTAGTGAGCATTCACGTTAGCTGCTGGCGGGTAGTAGTTGGTTGTGTGTGGCAAGTGACTGCAGTCACTGCCTGTTTTTTCCTGAAATACAGCGACTTTCAGAAGCCAGTTCTAGGCCGAGGCCCAAAGCACATTGTTTGGTATTGTTCTTTTCTCGTGGACAAACCACAAGCACGTTTCCGCGCATTACGGCTATGTTATTTGTTTCCTGGAAGCAGTAAGTGCCGACAACTCACAACGGATCTGCCACCGCAGTGCTGTGCGAGCGATGGCAGGGCCAGAAGATCCGGATGAAGATTGGGCTGCTTTCGCATCCCAATCGTTGGAAGATGGCCGAAGGGAGGAAAGCTTGCAGATTCTTTCACAAGACACTTCTGAAGCAGATGCATGCAGAAGTAGTGCCTCAGATGAGGGTGATGATCCTGTAGAGATGGCCGCTCCGTTTTTGCCACCCTCGCCGGATGATGAAGACGTTCCATTGAAGCCAAGCAATGGAGATGCATGGTGGGTGAAGTTGCTGAAGACACACACCGCAAACAAGAAGCCAGGTGGCGTGGTTCCTTCCGGGCTGGTGACGGTGCTGAGTGCGTGCAGTGGTGGCCTCACGGAGGGTTTCGTCCTCCAGGAGATTCGGCACCTTAGGAAAGGGACAGTGTCATAGGTCATAGGTCATAGGTCATGTCATAGTGAGTGTCATAGTGACATAGTGTCTGTCATTGTCATAGTCACATAGTCATAGTCACATAGTCATAGTCATCATAGTCACAGTCAGAGTCAAGTCATACTCATAGTCACAGTCCTAACCGTCCTTGTTATACTGTTATAGTTATAGTAATAATATAGCAATAGTAATAGTCATAGTCATAGCCATAGTCGTAGCCCATAGCCATAGATGTAGTCATAGTAGTCGTCGTGGTCACGTGTCAGTAGTCATCTGCATGTTTGGGAGAAAGAAATCCCAATCAAGAGTCTACAGCATGTCCAAAGTTCGAGTATTCTGATTCTAGATTCTAGATACAAATCATTTAATGGTTTTTCCATTGAAATGTGGTCACCGTGTCACCATGGGTCACCAGCAGCAATCCTTTAAGAGAGATGTATGCATTGAATCCACACTCTGCCGCAGGACCTTGGGATCGACTTCAAAGTGGTTTCTGTGTCAGATCCGTGTCGGGCCTATCGCGAGTTCTGCTGCGCAAACCACGACAGCATTGAGCACGTTCATTTGAATATGTCAGACCAGATCCATGGCGCAGCTTGTGAGAAGCATTCTCATGCAGAGAGTTGCGTGATCCATGATGAGCCAATGCTTGCGGTTTTGGGCACCCCGTGCCCTCCTTTCTCAGTCCAGAGGGCAAAGCGGTTCAAGAGTGGCACAGTGAAGCATCACAAGTCATACAACACAACTTTCGAATCCGCGCTGCTGTTCCTGGAGACCTTTAACCCTGTAACGGCGGTCCTCGAGCAAGTTCCAGGGTTTGATCAGCTCGAGACTGCTGGCGATTCAGTGACACCGTTGGGAAGGCACCCACCCGCACTGTTTGCTGATTACTTCTGATTGATTGCTTGTTACTGTTACTCTTTGCGGCTGTGGCGGTAGCAGTTTAGGCGGTGTTCAACATCAGCGGCAGGTTTTTCCGGGTAGCATTTGACAGAATATGCAGTTTGTTTGGTCAGTCGATGTCAATGTAGTGAGTGACTGATTGTCAGCAGAGCTGCTTCATGCAACCCATGCGCTATGGCTGTCGGCCAGGTTCCTGCAAAAGCTGTCGGAAGCCGACACCAAGCACGGCTACTATGTTGCAGTCCAGCGGTTGGACCTGGCCAGCTGGATGACGATGTCTCGAACAAGGCAGGGTTGATTGCCACTTCTCGGAAATGGTTGAAGGTTAAAGGTTAAAGTTAAAGTATCGAAGCACGTATTCATTTGCGCGAGAGTTTATCAAGGGTACAGGGTACAATGCAAATATAATTAAATTCAGGAGGTTAGCTAGCAGCTGTTTGCTTCAACTTACTGTTAGGCCCGTTAGGTTAGGACCAGTTACCAGGTGGGAATTTAGAAAGTAGGAATAGGACCATAGGAAAGT